TCTCAAAACGTGGCCCCCAATCGATGGCATCAGACTCTCCTGCAATATTTATTTAAAATGCAGCCTCCTTCCAATCTACTCACTGAAATTCTGTACTTGCCTGTCTGGGATCTGAATTTTCAGGGAACAACCCAAGTGCTTCTTACCCACCCTGAAGCGGGACAACCACTGAGGTAGACGAGCCACGGGAGGTAAACCTGGGTGGTGGACAGAGAAGTTCTATTTATTTCCACAGTCAGGGGAGCAGTTAGAGATTACTGAGCAGGAAGAGTCCTTATCACGCTCCTTGTGGGGAGATATTTGGGTTTTTACTGAATATCTTACAACTTAATTCAGTTTGTGGCCAGAAAACATACTCTGTGTGTTTGCGGTCCTTTTAAATGTATGGAAACTTGTTTTCTGGCTCAGCATATGGCCCATCTGGGTGAGTGATCCCTGTGTGCTTGAAAAGAATGTGTATCTTACCATTGCTTGGTAGAGCGCTCTATAAATATATCAGATAAAGGCAGCTGATAGTGTTACATGCTGTATGTCTTTCCTGATTGGGGAAGGTCTACTGTTCTTTTAATTGCTGAGAGTATTCAAATCTCCACCCAGGGGTGCCTGGGTGGCTCAGTGAGTTAAGCGTCCAACTTTGGCTCAGGTCAGGCTTTCGTGGTTCATGAGTTCGAGCCCGGCGTCGGGCTCTGTGCTGACAGTTCAGAGCCTAGGGCCTGTTTCGGATTCTGTGTCTCCCTCCCTCTCTGTTCCTCCCCTGCTCATGCTCTGTCTGTGTCTCTCTCTCTCTCTCAAAAATAAATAAAGATTTAAAAAAAATTTTTTTTAATAAACAAAAAAATAAAACCTCCACCTAAGACTGTGGATTTGTCTATTTTCCCTTTAACTCTGTGCAATCTGGCCAGGCATTGTGTGCATGAAACTCCGTTATCAAACACATACGCAGTTCTGATCGTTACGGCCTCATTGGGGCCTAAATTGACCCCTTTATCATTATGAAATGTCCTTTTCTCCCAGGTTATTTGTGTGGGGATCTTCTTCACCTGGCTCATATAGCCTCTGCAGCTTTCTTTTTTTTTTTTTTAATTTTTTTTTTCAGCGTTTATTTATATTTGGGACAGAGAGAGACAGGGCATGAACAGGCTGAGGGGCAGAGGAGGAGAGGAAGACCTGAGGCAGAGGCTGGGCCTCAGGCTCTGAGCCAGCCAGCTGGGGAGCCTGGCCTTGGGCTCAACCTCTGCCTGAGACCAGCGAGGATCCATGTTCCTGGCTGAGTCGGGCAGCCAACCATTTCATGCCAGGCCCCTCAACACTAACCTTAATCTCCTCGTGTATCCTTTTCATTTATTGTCAATTTCCACTGTCTCATATTTTAAATGGGACATATTTAATGGTATATTTAATGAGGCATATTTAATGGGCATATTTATTTATTTATTTATTTTTTAATTTTTTTTTTCCCAATTTATTTTATTTCTGGGTTCAGAGAGACAGAGCATGTGACAGGGGGGGAGGGGCAGAGGAGAGGGAGGCACAGAATGGAAACAGGCTCCGGGCTCCGGGCCATCAGCCAGAACCCAGCCAGCGGGGCTCGAACTCAGGACCTTGGATCGGCTGAAGTCGGACGCTTAACCGACTCGCCGCCGAGCCGAATGAGCATATTTAATGAGCATGTTAAAATGCTCGCAGAGACAACATTCTGACCATCTTGGCCCTTTTCAGCAGGATATAATTCATGCCATAAATCATTCCAGCACCAAAATTGCAACTCAATGGCTTTTTTTTAATACATGCGAAGTTGTGTGACCATCCGCGGCTAATTCTCCTTATCCTATTGATCTGTTTTTTGACTTCTCCCCGACTCTTTGTCTGCCCTCCCATCTGCTATTAAGAACACTCCAGTCGCGATTCTTATTTCAAATATTGTATTTTCAGTTTCAATTTTCATAGTTTCTCTTCTGGTGAGACTTCCTAGTCCCACTCCAGTTTTGCTTATTTTCTTTCACTTCTAGTGATATTTCTACTAGCTGCTTGAAAATCGGTATTGGATTTGCGTCATCTTGGAGGTTACCAGTTGTTTTCTCACTGAGTATAGATCGCATTTTCTCTTACTCTGCCTGTCTAACAGTTTTAGATGTATCCCTGGATATTTATGAATGGTATGGGGGGGCTCTGGATTCTATTCTTTTCTTCAAGTAGATTGGCTTGTTCTGTTTTATTTTATGAGCAGAGTGGTGGCTGGGCTTCAAACTCCAAATATCAGTCCCATTCTTTGACCCCTTTGCCTGGACACTTGGGATCCTACTCACTTTAGGGGCCAGCTGGGGGAGTTTGGGTGGTACACTGGAAACTTGGGCCTCCTGCCTCTCTATGGACCAGTCCTCTCTGGTCTCTCCCCTCACTTTTATGTTGATTGCCCAAACTCTCTCTTATTAATATTCAAACAGTAAAGATTACAAGGTTTCTATTTGGGGTTTAAACCACACCATAAACTAAAAGACATTTAAAAAAATGACAAATCCACCTAATGCCTTTCTGCTTTCCTCCAGTATCCTGCCTCTTTTGATTGCTCTCAGCCTACAAATTGCTTGGTTTTATTTTGGCCAGAGTTTACAGTTGATGCTTTAGGAGGATTTAGTCCAAAGAAGCTATAAATTACTGGGAGCAAAAGAGAGAGATCCCGAATCTGAGGAGTGAATGGATAGAGCCTGGGTATCAGTCGGTTAAAGCGATCGACCGGCTCAGGTCATGATCTCCCGGTCTGGGATTACAGTCGGGCTCTGTGCCCGATAAGCGGCAGTAAAAAAAAATCTGGGAAGGAGGAATCTTGGGCAGCAACTTGC